GTGTGTGTGTGTGTGTGCGTGCGTGTGCGTGTGTACAGACATTCCGAAATTTGAGAGTAATGTTATATATATATACACATATATATATATATAGTGCAGCGTAAAATTTATATATATATATGATATATATATTAGGAGTATGAATTAGTTCGATCCGTTTTCCTAAATGGTTCCAGCTGTTGTGAATGGTTCGTAGTGACAGCTGATTTTGGCGATTTCAGAGAGGTTAGACATCTGCTAATAAAATTCAATTATATCGCTTTGAGTTTCATACAAAAACCTTGATTTTTACTGTGTTTGGAATATCGAATTTTGTGTTAACCAAGCAGCATTTGCGGGAGGTTTTAATTTTCTTCTTTAATTGGAAGAAAAGTGCAGCTGAAGCCCATCGAATGCTTGTCGAAGTTTATGGTGACACTGCGCCAACTGATAAATCATGTAGGGAATGGTTTCGACGTTTCAAGGATGGAGATTTGAACGTTGAAGACAAGCCTCGCTCTGGACAGCCAAAAAAACTCGAAGACAAAAAATTAGAGGCATTACCTGAAGAAGATCAGAGTCAAACGCAAGAGGAGCTTGCAGAATCATTGGAAGTAACTCAACAAGTCGTTTCTGTACGATTGAGAGCCATGGGAATGATTCAAAAACAAGGAAATTGGGTGCCTTATGAAGTGAAACCGAGAGACGTTGAAAGGCGATTTTTTACTTGCGAGCAGTTGATTCAAAGGCAACAAAAAAAAGGTTTTTTGCATCGGATTGTGACTGGAGATGAGAAGTGGATATTCTACGATAACCCCAAGAAGAAAAATACTACGGTAAGCCCGGTCAATCGTTGCCATCGACCTCAACATCAACACCAAAGCTGAACATTCATGGTTCTAAGATCATGCTCTGTATCTGGTGGGACCAAAGGGTGTTGTTTACTATGAGCTGCTGAAATCTGGTGATTCCATTACGGGCAATCGATATCGGCTACAATTGATTCGTTTGATCCGTGCATTGCGAGAAAAACGTCCAGAATACGAGAGCAAAGACATGATAAGTGATTTTTCTTCATGGCAAAGCTCGGCTTCATGTCACAAAAGTCGTAAAAAAATATTTGGAAACGCTCAAATGGGATGTTTTACTGCACCCGTTGTATTCTCCGGATATTGCTCCTTCTGATTACTGATTGTTCCGAAGGATGCACGATTTGGCAAGTCACTGGTTCACTTCTTTCGCAGAAATCAAAAATTGGCTCCAAAATTGGATCGCCTTCAAAGACGAGTCATTTTTTTGAGATGGAATTTGAAAATTGCCTGAGAGATGGAAAAAAGTAGTAGCCAGCGATGGATAATACTTTAATTAATCTGTTCATTCATTTTGTTTTGAAACAAATTCATTTTTGAACACAAAAAAATGGACCGAACTAATTTGTACTCCCTATATATATATATATATATATATATATATATATAGTGCAGCGTAAAATTTAAATATATATATATATTCAGTAATTTAAAAAATCAAATCTCATAAGTTTGAAACAAATTTTTTTATTATTGCAATGAATGTTCAAAATGTTGATCGAAACATGCTAGTCTTCGTGCAAAACTTCGATTTTTTCTTTGACTCTTGAATCGTCATTTTATGAAAAATATTTGTTATTCTATCATGTTTTCTGGGAACGTTCAAAATAAACTCTTACTCTTCACTTTCAACATTTAACTACTCCGAAAAATATGGTAGAAAGAATAAATATTTTCGCGAAATGACGATTCAAGAGTTAGAAAAAGTCCAAGCAAGCTCCACGAAGACTACATGTTTAGATCACCATGGTGAACATTTTGAACATTTATTACAATGAAAATAATTCAAACTTATATATAATTTTCGTTTATATCTCGAAAATAGTTGAATTTTCAAAGAAAAATTAATACAAAGACATTCGATTGATCAAGTACTATCGATACAGTGACTAAAAAATTTCTCTTTTCATTAAAAAAATTTGTATTCATAATAAAAAATCAAGGATATTTACTCAAAGTCTCCTACTTATCGTACAATTTTGAATAGGTATCTTCTCCTAATGTTTTCGAAAAAAAAAAAAAAGGAACGTGATGTACTTTTTGTTACACTTATCCTGCGCGCGCAACACACACACACATACACACCCGTAACGCCGGGAATGGGCTTCGTAAATATTTCCTTCTTAATTTCTGCTCTTGCCAGCAAAATATTAATATTTAATCTCTAAAAGATTCTACAGAGCAAATACATGGTATTAAATTGCTATGACCTCGGATTTTTTAATATATCTAATATTCTATTAATTTACAAATGCGAGAGAGAGGAAAACGAGAATTTGTATATTTTCTGTATTTACGAATTAGGCTTCCGAATAATTGCAGTTAGTTAATTAATATTACCGGTGCAGAGTAATTGAATAAAATTTTGTTTACAGAAAGACGAATAGATCCTTTTTGAATTAAGGAATATAACAAAAAGAGTTTTCGAATTATGGAATTCGATGTTCCATAAGAAACAATTTGATATTTTTTAGTGCGTGATGTATAACTGTATACTGATATAATGTGATATAATTTATCTAATACCAGCGACAAGATATTATTAAAGACCATCAGTTTTATGGAAGTTCATGTAATTGTTAAACTTTAATAAGAATGAGAGAGAAACTGATAATATAATATTAATTTCATGATATATTAGTTTCAATACATAATTTATACATATATATAGTATAATCGTATATAATATATCGAAACTATTGATAGATATGTATATATGTTTAACTCAATATCCGATTTTTATTTAAAACTGATTTTAATATTATCATCCGATAATCATTTGATTATCAATAGAGATAATAACTCTATAGAAAAAAATTGTAAATTTTTCGGCAATATATAAGATATTATTATAGTGTTAAAAGTATGTGTATTTCCTTATGCAGTATTTATATAATAAAAAAAATCATGAATTTAGTAATGTATTATCAGAATATTTATGTTAATAATACCGAATTTTTATTAATTGATAATGTCATCGTTCTTTAATTATCTCTGAGTATCAATCATGTAACTTTTTGTGAAAAGTGAAAACTTGTGAATGTATGTATGAACATATACACATATAAAAAATTTTCACTTCACGTTTTCGCCCTAGGGAAAAAGTTACATTATCTATCGATATTCTGGACCTACTGATAGTCACGAAAATTTGTCCAGGGATACTATTCTATAACTGTTTTCACACGCTTATCGACAGTTGTCGATGTCATTGGCTGCGTTCAGCAGAAAAACAGCTTTGCAATTGTTGTAAAATTTTTGAATATGATTGGCTTATACATTTATCTAATGAGGAAGTAAAGGCAAGACCAATCATATTAAAGAATTTTGCAACAGTTGCAAAGCTGCTTTCTCTGCTGAACGCAGCCATTGCGCAGATATTTTGTGACAAAAAAGCTGTGCAGCGACACCGATAACTGTCGGTAGACGTGTAAAAACAGTTTCAAAGTAGCACCCCAGAGCCGGCCGTCTTTAATAATCTTGTCGGTGCTAATACTGACATGGCCATTTATAGGCAACTTTGTACATACATATGAAATAATATGTTACAACAAATATGAAGATGTCTAATTTGAGGCAAACTCTCACTAGACTTTACAATAAAAATCGCTACTCGACAAACTGTCGCTTTGGAGTCTATTCCACTTTTAAATTCCTTTATATTTTAAATTATTGCAAATGAGCGTAAGATGCGTTGCAATCAAAGTGCCAAATACTCGTAAATTAGTGTTCAATTTCAAATCCCGAGCCGATCATTATTATTAATATACAAAAGTAAATTGAAAAAGTTCTTATCTTATTAAGAAAAAAACTTTTTTCAACAAAATAAACATTTCTCAATATAGTCCCTTTTCAACTTATTACATTTGATCCAATGTTTTTCTAGATCTTTCATTTCTTCAATATAATAACTTGTCTAAATCCGAAAAATAGTCATTAATTTTTGGCACTTATCATTACAACATCCAACGAAAATTTTTTCCCAGATAGCCTTTTTTTTTTAAATTAAAAACAAAAAAAAGTCACACGGAGAGTATAGTGAATGTATAATTAATTCGTACTTCAGATTCATATAATTTCACTATCGCAACTGCTGATCAAGCTGAACAGTGACCAAATGCGGACATCCAATGCGTGTTGTGTGCAACATGCATCGTAATATTATGAAGTAATAAAAAGAAATATAAACCATTAGGGAGTTTTTGCAATACCGTATATCTAGGCATTCGGAGAGTGTGTTATCGACACTATTTGTGTCATCCTTATTTTACGTATATAATAAACGATGAAATAGAATAGATAGAATGACACAAATAATGCTAATTAGCATCTTTCCTAAAGCACC